TATACTTGAATTTTATACCTGATTAAACTGATTAAACAAAGTCTGTCACTTATTCCTCTTAACATTAAAGGAAATATATATATATATATATATATATATGAAAATGAGAAAGCATTAGCTCAGCGGTATTACCAATAATAATAGTTAATAATAATAATAGTTGAAAAAAAATCCTTTCGCTCTTTTTCTTTTTCACATTTTGAGGAGTGAATAAAAATGGGGAAAAGAACGAAGGAATTGAAATAAGAAATGATTTAATGCTATATCGAAAATAAGAAATGATTTAATGTTATACCGAAAATAAGAAATGATTTAATGATATAGTAAAACTGATAAATGCTGTATATATTAAAGTTTGAATTGAAACAGTTGTTAAGAATTGAAATAAGAAATGATTTAATGCTATACTTGAAATAAGAAGTGACTTAATGCTGTACTGAAAATAAGAAATGATTTAATGATATAGTAAAACTAATAAATGCTGCAAATATATTAAGATTAGAATTGAAACAGTTGCTAAAATCATTCCTCATAGTTTTTCATTTCATATTTCTCAGGTAATAATAATTATTATTAATGATTAATAATTAATTATTAATAATTAATTCAACTATTAATTCAAATTAAAATTTGATTAATTTATCTTTATTTGGAAAAATTAAAGATTATGACAAACAAAATTTATCATTTAGCAAACAATTTTATTTTCTTGTGGAACTTAATTACCAATAAATTGTAAATGAATATTACAACATTGAAGAATTTCTCTCTTAGTTATTACTTAATAATTTTTCTCATCATTTCTTTCTCTCTCTCTCCCTTTCTCTCTTTCTCAACTCTCTCTCTCTCTCTTTTCTTCATCAAATTAAATAATAAAATTTCGTAAAATTTATTGAGATATTTCTTTGCTATTGAAAAATTTGTGAAATGATGAATAGAAAACAAATTTTGATAATGAAGCAATTTTTAGGATTGTTTCAAAATTGAATTATTTCAAAATCGAAATCAAAATTAAAATCAAAAACAAAAACTCCAAAAAGGATAAATTAATTAAATTAAATATGAATGAATATCATAATTAAAAATAACGGATTATTATATTATTTCAAAATCGGAACTGAAATCAAAATTACACAAAGATCAGACAAATGCGAACAAATGGCGAAATATATATTATTATCCTACCAGCTGATTTGTTTACTTTCATTAACTACTTAGTGTAAAATGAATTTATTAAAATGTGATCCGCACGACCCGCCAGTTAATTAATGATATCGTTCAATATATTTGAAATAAATAAAATATCCTAAATAGCATATTTTTAATTAAATTCAAAGATCAATTAAAGATCAATTTCAAATTTAATATTTAATTTCCTATTACTAATAGCCGGAAAAACAACAATTATTGCATAGATCAAACAAAAAGTATTTTTTTTTACCATTTTTCAACTAAAATGCATTTATTCAATTAATCAATTAATCAATTAATTAATTAATTAATTAATCAACAAATCGATCAGAAAAACAGAAAAAAATAAATTTGCAAAATTCTTAAAAACTAATATTGCCTACAGAAATAAACAAGTTAATTGATAGTAAAGTGTATATAATTAAATGTATTGCAATTTAAATACTTTTCAATTATCTTAATATTAATAAAATTCTGATATGTTAAAACAAAAGCACAAATAATTAATTTGAATTGACGAAAAAAAAGCAACAATCAAATTAACTGATAATATTTTTATCATTTTAAACTACCTTTTATTCTTTCTTTTTTCAAAAGTCATTATTCACTCACTTTACTTTACTCATTAATTACTTTGTTTAATTACCTATTTAATTAATGTCTTTTGTTTTACAACAACAAATCGGTCAAAATTATTATAAGTAAAAAATTAAATAAAGTGAATATTACGTGATTTTTATTCATTTACTTTACTTTACTTATTAATTACTTTGTTTAATTATCTATTTAATTAATTTCTCTTATTTTATAATAACAAATCGATCAAAATTATCATTATCAGTAAAAAATTAAATAAGTAAATATTTACACGATTCATTGTGAATCTTTATTTATTTACTTTACATTACTCATTAATTACTTTGTTTATTTAACCATACTTTTGTTTATAATTACTTTGTTTATTAATCTCCTTATTATATATTCATAAATCAATCGTCAAAAATTATTCGTAGTAACAAATTAAATAAATAAGTAAATAATTACCTGATTCATTGTGAGCGATATTTGAGTGAGAAAAATAAGGGCAAGTAATTGTAGCACCGATAAAGTAGCACATATAATTGATGAATAAATAATTTTCATTGGTATTAATGCATAAATTGTAAAAAGTACTAATGCTATAGGTAATAATGCCGAATAGCCATACGGTAATAAAGCTATTGTTGTTGTTGCAAGTAACTGTATTGTACCATAATGAATATATCGAATTACGGTTGGTTTAATAAGTAGAAATATTTGTAAAATAATACATATGATAGCACTAATTGCATTAATAATTAGCATAAAATCAAATTGTAGTAAATGAATTAATGCAGTAAATAGATAATATGTAATCCAAAGGCATTGTAAATGTAGTAAATGAGTACGAGAATGTAATATAAGTGATTGTTGATAAAGTTTTTCCAGGTGTTGATCACCAAATGCTACATCCATTATTATAGAAAATTATAAAAATTAAATTTTCAAAATTTAACAAAATTAATAACTACGGTTTTTTGCTTCTTTATTTCTTTTGTAATTTTAAATGAAATAGAAAATGGATAATAATAGTGATAAATACTGATATTAATTGAAGTAGTAGTAATAATAGTAGCAGTAATTAATTGTAATCAATAGTAGAGAAATCAATTGTAATCAGTAGTATAGAAATCAATTGTAATCAGTTATTACTGTTATTTGTTGTTGTTTGTCGCTGTTTGTTGAAATTGTTAACAATAGCAGTAAGTATTGTTGTAGCGAATAAATCGTAATTTTTATAAATATTAGTAATAGTAGAATTGTAAATTATTACATAGTAGTAATAGTAATATGTATATATATACATATAATATGTATATCTAAAAATAGTAAAAGAGTAGTAATAGTATATATATATATATATTATATGCATACCTAAATAATATGTATATCTAAAATGTATCTAAAAATTATTTAGATATACATACATATAATATGCATAATATGTATATCTAAAATATGTGTATGTAAATAATATGTATATCTAAAATATGATATGTATATTTAAAATATAACATGCATATCTAAAAATAGTAAAAGAAAAAAAAGAGTAGTAATAGTAATACATAATATATATATGTCTAAAATATATATATATCTAAAATATAATATGTATACCTAAAAATAATAGTAAAAGAAATAGTTAAAATTTTTTCAAAAATATAAAATGAAATTAAATATCAATTGAATTTATTCATTTCTTTCTTTCTCTCATTCTCCCCGTTTTTTTCCCCCGAAAGAAATCAATAAAATTTTCTTCGATCATTAAAAATAAAATTTATTATTCAATTAAAAATTTATGCTAAATTTTATCTTTGAAAAAAAAAAGCAAAGATTTATTTATTAGCTAAAATTTTAAATTTTAAATTGTTTATTTATTGATTTTTAAAAATAAAAGAAAATAAATTGGAAAGGGAAAAAAAGAGAAGGAAAGAAAAAGAAAATCCCAAGGAAAAAATAAGCATAATGAGAAATAACGACAATGCCTACTACGATCACCATCACTGTTACCACCACCACCACTACCACCACTGCTACCACTACCACTACTGTTACCACCACCACCACCACCACTACCACCACTGCTACCACTACCACTACTGTTACCACCGCTACTGCTACCACCACCACCATTAAAAGCATTTTTTGAATTTCGTTTCCAATAAAAGACTGGCAAATAAAAAGCAAAGTTCATTTTTTTAAATCTTTAAGAAACAAAAAGAAAAAGCTTTTTCTTTTCTTTTGTTTTTTTAAATTTTAGAAAATGAAACAAATTAGAAGAAATATTAATTACCATTATTATTATTATCAGTAATAAATTTAAATTTAAATTTAAATTCATTACTGACCGGATAATAATGAAAACCAAGGTTTTTATATCTAGCTAACCGCTCAACAACTCAGTGGTAGTGTTAGAACCCCAATGAATACTAAATGATAATAATAGAATCCTAATCACCGCATGAGCGATATTCT